CTGCAGCCGAGCGAGAGGAAGCCGTGCAGGAGCTCTGCCCCCCCCCCCCCCCCCCCCCCTCCCCCCCCGATACCTCCCGCCCACTCCCCCCCCCCCCCCGCCACAGGCCTCACCCGAAGGGAGGCTGATGTGGTTCCCGTCTCGCAGCTTGAGGCGGGAGTGCCGGAAGCGCCCCTTGCGCTTCTTAATCCGCGGCTTCTCCTGGCCCATCTGCAGCATGAGGAGGCTCAGCTCGCGCTCCACGATGTCGATCTCGCGTTCGGCCAGCTCCTGCTCGCGTCGGCGCAGCTCTGCCTCCTGAGTCTTCTGCTCCTGAGCCGCCTGCAGCAGCTCCTCCTCCCAGCTCCGCAGCTCCTGGGGAGCCGGTGTGCCACGCCTGGGTTAGATGTGCATGGCAGAGAACCCCCTACCCCACCAACAGGACCCCAGGGCAGTAAGTGGCACCTGGCGGGTTTCTGGCCCTCCCCCCAGCAATTCCAAGCAGTGCTCCCCAACCAAAAATCCATGGCTCGGCCCCAATCTGGGCTCCTCTAGACCTAGGCAGTCCAGGGGAACTTAGACAGGCGGAGGAACGGCTCACCTTCTCCTTGGTGCGCAAATCATGGAACATGCCTGCAATCTCCATCTTCCAGTCCTGCTGTAATGAGTGGAAGGACTCCAGGGGCATCTGGAACGTGGCCGACTGCTCTATTGCCACTAGTTGCCTCTGGATGCTGCCGAAGTCTGGCCGGGCATGGGGGTCTGGGCGCCAGCATTCTGCAAGAGCAGACCCGTTAAGAAATGCAAGTTCCGTGCCTGGGGTTAATGTGTGAGTGGAGTGTGAGTGGAGTCCTGGTTGTGTGTGTGTGTGTGTGTGAGTGTGTGATCGTTATGGCTGTTTTTGTCCAGGTTTTCTATTCCATAGTTATGTTTTTAATTGTTTTAAACAGGATATTGGATGTTGCAAGCTGCCCAGAGTCTTTTGGAGTGAGATGGCTATAACAAATCTAAACAACGGCAGCAGCAGCAGCAATAATTGCCACCACAAAGCCCTGGAAGGGCAGCCTTTCCCAGCAAAGTCACCTTCTGCCAAAAATGGAGGAGTCAGCTGTGACATCATGGCTGGAGTAGGCACTAAAATCATGCTTCTAAGCACATGCTGGTTATTTCTCCCTTGCCACCAGTTCTCCCATCCAGAGCACAAGGGAATCACGCTCCAGCACATGGACCTGTACACCATGCTCTGGGTCTCTCGCCTCATGGCCCAGGGTGGGCCCAGGGACATTTGCATCATGGTGTCCAACAGAAGTTGCTCCAGCCAAGCTCTGCACTTCTGAAGAGGCGAACCCACAGGCACTTGTGAGGGAGCCCTTGGCCCCAGATCTGGGCATAAAAGTGGAGGCTGGCATAGGGAGGAAGAGAGAAAGGGATCTCTCCTGCAGCCCCTGACTGGGTTTGGTGGACCTCCTGTGTTGAAGGGAAGATGACAGCCTTGCTCACCAAAGTCCCATGCCCCCTCCCGACTCCTGCTCCAAGGCTGTTCCTCCGTGGGCACAGGGAGGCCCCGCCAGGACTTGCAATACCGGGACACTCTCACCCACCTTCTAAGAGGCGGGCAAAGGGTTCGGGGCAAGTGGAGGGGATTGGCAGCATCAGCTTGTTCATGGCCACACCGTAGGCCACAGCAAGGGCGTCAATCTCCCGGTACGGCACCTCGCCTGTCAGCAGTTCCCAGAGCAGCACCCCAAAGCTGGGAAGACAGACAAACACATGTAACGCAGCGACATGTAGACCCTGTCGAGTGGTTATCGCTGGCTGCTGGGTCTGTGGCATCTCCCTGCCCCAGGGTTATTCTTGGTGGCACAGTTTGAGCCAGCTGAGCACAGCGGCTTTTTTTGAGATGGGAAACTGGATCACTCCCATCCCTGTGAAATGCATCAGGGAGCCCTGCTGCCTTCTGGGCTGGGCTTCCTCACTCAGCAAAAAGGTCCTTGGGCACCCAACCCAAAGTCCAGCTTTGTGGGCACCAGTGACTCTTGGCCCTTGTGGCCTGGACCTTGCTCCACCAGCACCAGAGCCCCTCAGCCACTCTCAGCCCCCCGTGCTTTCTGCAGCCGCGCCAGGCCAGGATGCTGTGGCAGAGGCTCCTTCTGGGAAGGGAGCCCCTCTGCCGCAGTTCTGCCCTGCTGCGGAAAAGGAGGCGGCCCTCTCCGCTGCCAGGGGAAGGTGGGTCCCGCTTTGCCCCTGCCTGCCCCCTTCCCGGTCACCTCCACACATCGCTGCTCTTGGAAAAGAGAGAATGCTTGATGACTTCTGGCGCCATCCAGGCGTAAGTGCCAGCGGCACTCATCTTGGTGGTTCTGTGCCACTCCCGTGCCAAGCCGAAGTCGGTGATCTTGAGGGTCCGCCCGCTCAAGTCCTCGTTCTCGATGCGTTCTAAGATTAGAACTGGAGGGACAGGAGAAGGCCCATCAGGGACATAGAGGCCTGGGGGGTTTCATCACTGCCCTTTGCACAGCTGGGGGGTGCCTGTTGGACTTGGCTCTGCTCTCACGGCAGGGAGGCACCGCCCGTTGGCTCAGCAGGGCCCAGCAGCCCAAAGGACTGCAGCTCTAGGATACTGAACCGACTTTTCTGCCCTGCCCCACACCGAGCCCACAAAATGGAGAACCGGCAATTGTCTTCAGGGCAACCTGACACCATTTCTCAGAGCAAGGCCCACTCTTTTCCATGGCTCTGCAAGGCTCTACAGGCCCAGAAGAGATCCTCCAGAGCACAGCGCAGACCACTTCCTCCTTAACAACCCAGAAGCCATAAGAAAAAGTAATGGGATTATGCCCTGCGCTCCTTTCCTGAAGATGGCTCAAAGTCATGTTGGTTGGGATGGGCGGGTTTCAACCTTTAATACCTGCATCAGGTGCTCCAGAGTGAAGGAAGACAATTCCTGCACCTCTCACCTAGAAGGGTAAACCCAAACCAAGGCAACCGAGCACAGCCAAATGTGTGGTGCAGCGACACCATTTGCCCAGGCCATGCAGCCTTTCGAGCCCCCCTCCTTTTCTCACCATTAGAAGGTATTTCCCTTACACTCACATCTGACGCGGCGGTGGGGGTTTCGTGGCCCTGTGCGCTGAAGAGCGACAACTCTGTTTCGGAAAACTCTGCCCAGAAGGGGCTTGGAGTCAGAGGCCTGTCCCTTCCTTCGGCTTGGGTCCAGCCCACCTCTCTCCATCCTCCTCTCTCAGCACCCAGAGCGAGGATTGGGCTAGCCGAGGGGATACACTCACCGGAGTAAAACAGAAGCAGGCCATTGGGCAAGGGGCTTGGAGCCGGCCCTGCCATTGTGCTGCCAGGTGGAGGATTGAGAAAAGGCGACAAATTAACTGCCTTTCTATGGCCAGGGAATACCAGCTAGCCTGGTCTGAGAGGAAGAGCACCATCTGCGGGGCCATCTCAAGCAATTAGGTGTCGCAGGCAGGCAGGCTCCAAACACACGTTGGGCCTGGGAATTGGCGGACCCACCCCTGCCAAGATGGGAGAAAGTCTGGAAGGACTAAGGGGGCGGAAACACCGAGAGTTGGAGGGCTGGGTCAATATGGCCTGAGGGTGGCGCCCCACCCCTGCCAGACCGCCTCCTGCCCAGATGACTTACTGTTGATGGACTTGAGATCCCGATGAATGATAGGAACCAGGGCTTCGTGGTGAAGGTAGTTCATGCCCTGTGCAATCTGGACAGCCCAGTTGACCAATACGTGAGGAGGCACCTTCTTGCCAGCCAAGGCCCGGTTGAGGGTCCCTCCACGGGCATATTCCATCACCAGGCAGAGGTTTGGGGGGCTTAGGCAAACCGCCTTCAGTGCAATGATGTTGGGGTGGCTCAACATGGCAAAAAGCCGGGCCTCCTGGCGCACATTCTCCACTGTCACGGTGAGCTCTTCTTCTGGGTCCTGGCGGGTGGCCTTCACGGCTACCTCTTCTCCTCGCCACACCCCCTTGTAGACCTTGCCAAAACCCCCCACCCCAATGATCTCATCCAGCTCCAGTTCCTGGAAGGGGATTTCCAAGGGAGGAGGGACCTGGGTGTACTTGGGGTCACTGGACACGTAATTGCTGGGAAAGACGCCCACCTTGTCCTGGAGCTTCCCAGTCCACCAGCCCTCATCCCCAGAGACTGCGCAGTCCTTGGAGAGCACCTCCACCAGATCTCCCCTGTGCAGGGTGAGCTCCTCCTCTGCCGTTGCCTCATAGTCAAAAACGGCTGTCCAGAAGGGGTTGGGGGCCAGTGGGCAGATGCTTGGGGGCCCATTGCAGCCCCCCACCTCCCGGCAGCCTTGCTCCATTGAGTCCGTGTCCACCCAGCAGCTCCTGCACGCCCACTGCCCCCGGGCAGCTCAAGCCAAGGCCCTCTTTCTCAGCCCTCCACTGGGGGGGG